CAGTACTGAAAACAATTAGTGTTTGGGTGCAGAGGAGTTATAGGCACGTTAAGAGAAAAAAGTAGAATAAGTCAGACACAGAGAGAGGTTGAATTCTAAATAAAGGAAACAAGTTTAGCCTTTAATGTGAGCGGTGCCTAGGCCCCCAAAGTGGCCTCTGCCAAATGCATATTGCTCATGTGCACACACACTTTTTTTAATGTTTATTTATTTTTGAGAGAGAGAGACAGACAGACATAGTGTGAGTGGGGGAGGGACAGACAGAGAGCAAGACACAGAATCTGAAGCAGGCTCCAGGCTCTGAGCTGTCAGCACAGAGCCTCACACAGGGCTCAAATTCATGAACCATGAGATCATGACCTGAGCCAAAGTCAGGTGCTTAACCGACTAAGCCACCCAAGCACCCTTCGCGCACACACTTCTGCCCCTGCCTTGAATGGCTGCTGCCTTCCTATATCTTGGACCTGGTTGCCTAAAAGAACATGACATTTCTTTTTCTATGCTCTGCATTTGTAGGTTACAATCAGTTGTAACCATCCTATGCATAAACTCTACCCATTTAACTAAAAATATGAGGAGAGTGTAAGTTGTGCCGTGAGCCACACCTTGGCCTATTTCCCTGCCCTCTGCAAATAGAAGAAATACAACTGGATATAATGAGGCTCTGGTAAAGCTTCAGAAGCTAGAACTGTCTGGCTTCACACTTAGGTTGACACAAGGTTAATGGACAGGCACACTCACCTGTGTGACTCTTGTTTAGGGCCTGGGGATCAGAGCTGTTGTCTGGTGCTCTCTCTCTTCCTTGCAGAGCTTTAGCAAGGCTGTAGCTGTCCCACATCAGAATATATAGAAGCACAAACTAGAAGTGCTGAGAAACTTAAAGACTCAGTCACACTAACACTAGAGAATAGAATTTGGCATCATCATCATCCCGGTTACCAAAATAATCACACAGTTTATTAAGGTCATACTGTATGTGGTGCTTTGCCAGGTTATGGAATAAAAGAGTGAAAGGACAAACTGCTTGTGGTGTTGTTTATTGGTCTGTCTTCTTATGCCTGCCTTTGAGGGATGTGCCATCTAATTGACAAGATAAGTCTAGAGCATGAAAGATGAAATCAGTACAAAGCAGTGTATACTAAATGTCCTGGAAGAGGTACTGAAGGCTTACTGGAGTTCAGAAAAAGGAATGGTCTCCGGGGGATGCCAGATAAATGTATCAGAGAGGAAGGGAGCCAGGGTGGCTCAGTTGTGAGCATCCAGCTTTGGCTCAGGTCACGGTCTCATGGTTTGTGGGCTCGAGCCCCACATCGGACTCCATGCTGACAGTGTGGAGTCTGCTTGGAATTCTCCCTCTGTCTCTCTGTCCCTCCCCCTCCCCTATGTGTACACTTACTCTCTCTCTCAAAATAAACTTTTTAGAGAAGTGTCAGAGAGGATACAGATTTTGAAATGGACATCAGTCACAATGAACAACGAGGTAGATGAGAAGGGAACATGATGGCAGGTGGGGGCAGGGGGTAGCAGGAATGCATGAGAGCGTTTGAGAACAAAACAGCAGACAGTTGTTCTTCATATGGCAAGAGCAGATGCCTTTAAAAAAAGAAATTAGGAAATAGAGAAATATCAAGTTTGACATGTAGGAAAGGGTCAGCTTTCAAAGAACTCTGAATTGGGACATTATTCTACTTGGTCTTTCTCAACCCCCATCAAAGAGGATGTAGACATTTAAGCACTGCACGTATCGTTATCACAAATTGGTTTGCAGAACAGCTCCTTGGTATATTCCAGAGAATCCTAAAGCCCCTGTGCCTTAGCCTCCCTCATGAAAGCTGGGGACAAGGTCTCTGTGGTCTTTGAACTATTCGAAAGTACTGCTCCAGAAGGATGCCCAGGTACGGTTACTCAACTTCTTCCCCAGCACCAAGATGAACCCCTCCAAACACATGGAAATGCACTAGTTCAGAGCATGGGCAGTTTCAAGTGGCCTTGTAAAGCCTTCACTTCAGAGTTGCCTCTCTCTCACTAAATGCATCACTGGCTCTATTAGCCCCAGCATTGAAAATTCCAACTTGTTTCCACAAATGACAGCAAAAGGCTCTATCAAAAGTGATAGTTTCTTTAGTTCATCACATCTCTATTCACTGCAAAAACATTATTGTCCTTGTGGTTTGTGCTTTATGATTGCTTTTATGAAGACAGTGAAAAGGCAAAATATATAGGTGGAAACTTAAATTGACTTCATATCGCTAACATTTACCATCTTCAAAAATAGCATACTAGATTAATGCACTTCTGATTTCAAGGTACTTTTTTTTTCAAATTGGTCTTCCCTGCACATAATAATTCTATCAGACAATGGGCTGTGGAAGAAAGCATCGTGTGTGATTTATTCCTGGGGGCTTTGAAGGATAAAAATACTGTTTTTGTACTAATGTGTCTGAAATATCAGATAAAATATGGTTATAATATGCAAGGGTGTCTTTCAGTTATGGACTTTTTTTTTTCTTTCACTGTGTTTGTTGTAGGATCTAAGGGAGGAATGTGTAAAGTTGAAAACAAGAGTGTTTGATTTAGAACAGCAGAATCGAACGTTAAGCATCCTGTTCCAACAGCGAATCAGACCAACTTCTGATCTGCTCCTTCAGGTATGTGCTTATGTGGAACCAATCTTTGCTACTGAAATGCTATTGACAAGAAGTTACTTTAGTTTGAAAGTTTCCAGGATCTCCATAGGCAAGGCATAGTGTATCAGAACGCTGATTCTTTTCCTTTTCAAGGAATGTCTTTAAAATTGAATGTCTCTTAAATTTCTGACTTTTTAAAGCTACGTTTAGATAAAGAAATACATCAACAAATAATAAACAGGTAAAAGGGACAGAAGGTGTCCTGTAGTAAACTTTGGAATAGAGTCAGGAAATAATTGATTACTTTGGGGACTAAGGTTAGTAATCTTGCGTTCCATGATAAACAAAGAAGAGTTTTATGCAATGCCACAGTACATTTCTTCATTTCATTCCCTCTGTAGTCAAAAATTCTGCTGGGGTTTGTTTTTCTTTCATACCTCTCTCTGTGCGGAGTTCCTGCTCACACACGATTCCTCCTATATCCTGCCTCAGTGTTTTCAGGTTGCCTTTATCTAAATGCTCTCCCTGAGCTCCTTCTTTACTTTCCTTCATAACATGAAAAGTCATGGAAAGTCAAGCCATTTGAATCATTTTGAAGCCATCCCTGAAAAAGCACCAGAGACTATATCTGATTTGTAGGGAGACAAATGAATTGGCAAAGGGGTCTGGAAGGCTGATCTTTGCTGTTTTCTGGGTTTTTTCAAATCCTGTTAATGTGTATATTTGCTCAGACAAGCTCCCATGAGCCTTGCTTAGAGCCCTTCTGAGGCTAAGCTAGCAAAGGGTTAGGCTTCACAGGGGCAACGTACAAAAAATAATCCCCAGCTGTCTGGCCTGATTGGCTGAGAGAAAGGGAAAAGACAGAGCTATCCTCTAGACTGCACTGCCCAGCACAGTAACCACTAACCATGTGGTGCAATGGAAATTGAAAATTAAATTAAAATTAAGTTCCTGTGACATACTAGCCACATTTGAAGTGTTGAAAAGCCACATATGGACAGTGATTACCATTTTGGAAGGTGCATAGATAGGACATTTTCATCACCATAGGAAGTTCTACAGGACAACACTTTTCCATATGGCTGGGACATTGTTGCTAATTTACCCTTTGAATTTTGGTATGAATATCTTTCCTTGACTCCTCAGGAAAATAATGAGAAATTGCAGGTTATTTCAGGGAAAGAAAGATGTTTGGTAAAGCCGAACATCAAAATATAATTTCCCCCTCCCCAAATTAAAACCAGCCTCTGGGGGCGCCTGGGTGGCGCAGTCGGTTAAGCGTCCGACTTCAGCCAGGTCACGATCTCGCGGTCCGTGAGTTCGAGCCCCGCGTCAGGCTCTGGGCTGATGGCTCAGAGCCTGGAGCCTGTTTCCGATTCTGTGTCTCCCTCTCTCTCTGCCCCTCCCCCGTTCATGCTCTGTCTCTCTCTGTCCCAAAAATAAATAAATGTTGAAAAAAAAAATTAAAAAAAAAAAAAAAAAACCAGCCTCTGAATTGCACAATAGATCTCATCTCCTAAATTAATTTCCTCTCTGCTTTATCTGTTACAGCATCATTCATAATTTATGACTCAAAAATTATGCAGAAAAAAATTGGTCTATCTCTGTTTCCTGGTCCCAACCACAACAAATGTTTATCATAGAGAATCTTGCATCTGTAAAAAGTTGTATTTCTTTTGCTCTCGTATCAAGATCCAATATTATAATTACTTTTAACAGCTGTTGCATGTACATGAATTTTTCCATTTTGCTTAGTTTAACTTCAGGCTTTTTGAGAACAATGTTTAAGGATCTATCGTTTCTGTTTATGAATCATGGTGGCTTATTTCCAGAGTAAACACATGTGCCATGGATATTTAAACTTTTTCATTGGTTGTTACAAATTTCTGAAATCCATATCCAAATGGCAGAGAATGATGCGTATGCTAACAATAGAACTCAGTGTTTATTCACTGGATATTTTCAGCCAACCCACTTTGTATTCCTCCCCAAATAGTCTTCACTTTCGGGAGCCATTCTAATTTGAATAACATTTCTAAAAGATAGGTTGCTAATGGTTCTGTAAAGAAGAATGGTAGAAAGCGGGATGCCTGTGCTCTACCATCTATCACAGATAGACGGAGTTTCTGGCTTTTCAGGGGGTCTGTTCATTATGTGACTTGTATTTTTCATTGTCTGGTGGCACAAATACACACAGTGGAGCACTGGCTAAAAATAAAAACAGGCTGTATGTGCTTTGCACCTATGGAAGCACTTTAATTATTTGTTGAACGGAATAATGAATAAATGACACCAGTATATTCTGTAAGTTGGGAGTTATTTTGCATACACCTAAGGGAAGTTTATGCCCTCACTTCTTCTGAACTTTTCCTGTCTTACGGATGCTCTGGAACTACCCAGTCATGCCCATCCAGCCTAACCTTTTGGAGTGTGTGGCTTTGGGGCATGGCAAATCCACCAGCGCCCCTGGTTCCAAACATTATTGACCTTACAGCTTCTGCCCATAGACTGGAGACTCAGTACAGTACATTTCTAACTAGTTTTCTGTATATCATAGAAACCTGTGTTAGTTGCTCCCTGCCGAAACGGCCTAATGATTATCTACAATGTAAAGTGCCCACTTGAAGAGAAATACAGAAAGAAGATTGTTGAACCCATTATGATTTTAGGAGATAGACTGTAAAAAGTAGAAAAGAAAATAATTCATAAGAACCAGTCAGTTCTTTGTCCTTAGGAATAGAAAATGAGGTTACATAGATATTATGTAGCAATTTTTTGTGTATAGGAGAAACAAAAAAGAAGTTCTATGGGCTAGTTTACAAAAATCTGGGAAATTTATAAAGGAACCAGGTACATGCTGGGGGCAGGGTGGGGGGGAGAAACTAACCTGAAAATTAAATTCTTAAGAATAGCAGTAATGTTCTGTGGTGATTCCAGTTTCCGGAATGGTATTTCTGGGACTAGGGGCGGTAACAAATCACAGTAGCAAGGCCCTTTATTAAAATAAACAAGTTGAGCTAAATTCTAAAGACTTGAGAAGCCAGTACAGCAAATAAAATCCCAAGGTAGTGTTCTTAATGGAACTTGAGTCTCTAACTAACCTTATTTGAGCCCATTAACCAACGTTCACCATTTCCTTTTGTAAATCATGTTAAACAACAGTCATTTTATCAGACATTGGAAACTGGTAGAGAACTCTTTACTAAGTGTCTTTACTTCTCTTGTGAGGTGAGTTGAATTCTTACCATAAATGAGCCATCTTTGTGACTCAGTATGTTTAGGCAAGTAGTACTTAAAATGGTAATTATGTAATTTTTAAACTACTATATAGGGATGAAATAGGGTACAGTAAGAATTGTTTATATAAAACAAAGTTGAATACTTGAAAGCCATCTATAAAGGCAAGTCACTAAATAAATGTTTATGATCAAATGAAATATAGGTGCCTAACTAAAAAAATTATGGGAGCTGGAGAATTATATTAACTGTGGAGGCATTCTGTATGCATATTGCTTCGGAAATCATTTTAAGTTCTTGTTACATTGTTAAGAAAAACGAAACAAAGACATATGCATAGACAACACATAAAGCATGTGTTTGATATCCCTCCCTCCTAAAAAAACAGACTCTAATAATAGGATCCCCAGGCAAAGAAGTGGCCTTGGCCCTACCAACAATGTTATTTAACAAACGCATAGTGCTTACCATGTGCAGGATACTGTTCTACAGCCTTTACAATGCTCACCAATTTAGTCTCCATTACAATCCGATGAGGCAGGAAGTATCATTGCACCCATTTTTACAAATGGGGACTGTTAGGCACAAAGTCCCCCAGCTGGTAGTTGACAGAGTGGGAATCTAAACCCATGGTCTGGCTCAGGTCCCTCCTTTCCCCCTCCCTGCTGTGCTCCCTCTATGGAATACAAATGATCATGAGGAACTTCTGATTCCATACCGTAACTGACATTTTGATTAACTGGACCATGTGATCAGGTTGGATCAGAGGGCTTCTGCAGTGAAATCACAACAAGGCAATGACCATATTTACACATTTCTGAAAGCCTCTTGATTTGTGGCATCCATGATTTTCCCCTCTCCTGTGTGTTCTGTTTTTGTCTTATTTTGGACACCTGTGTTATCCTTATTCTGATAAAACATTATTCTCATATTTTTTTGCCTAACACAGTTTTTTTTCTTTTCCTTCTCATTGGATATTTCAAAGGGTCCTAATACCCATATCCTTAGGCCAAAATAGAAAGAAAAGAAATGATGTAATGTAGATTATTCACGCAAACAGTTGAGAATCTGACAGCTTAGAACCAAGGTGTAAACATTTGCTGTCACTTCCTAGAGTGTTTGTTTTTTTTTTTTTTTTTTTGCTAGTGTTTTGTTTTATGGTATTATTTCTTTTTTTTTTTAATTTTTTTTTAACGTTTATTTATTTTTGGGACAGAGAGAGACAGAGCATGAACAGGGGAGGGGCAGAGAGAGAGGGAGACACAGCATCTGAAACAGGCTCCAGGCTCTGAGCTGTCAGCACAGAGCCTGACGCGGGGCTCGAACTCATGGACCGCGAGATCGTGACCTGAGCTGAAGTCCGTCGCTTAACCGACTGAGCCACCCAGGCGCCCCTGTATTATTTCATATGATATTAGAGGATTTTAAAATTCTCTTGTACTTCCGTTTATTTTTTTCTCCCCTAAATCTTTATTTTCAGAGTGTAAATCTATTTCAACAGTCTGATTTGACAGGAGAAAACACTTTACACTACCCACAGCAATGAATCCCGTTCTCTGAGACTTAGGCTGGTGCTGCCAGCTTTCAAGGACCCCAGGGCCATGGCAGTGCTCCTGGAACTTTCCCCTTGCTGAAGCTCCATTGGTATTGATGACCCATCCCACACAATTAAGCAGGTCATGGTCCTGTATGGAATTATATAATCCTAATCTCTCATGGCAGGGATGGTGGAAGGCATGTAGTGGAAATGCCAGGAACTGTGGGTTTTATGCTGACCTTTCCTT